TTGTGTTGAATAAGAGCTATAAGAAATGACCAAATTGCCCTTTTTGTCATCTATTCTTTTAATTGCACCAGATCAGAAACCATTAAAAATGAAAAGAATAAAACTTATTTTAAAAGAATAGTATGATAAATAACTGAAAAGAATACAACTTTGTCTAACATTGCATAACGAAAGTACATTACTATAACATGCAGTTTATGTTATAACATGTCATCCACCATTACAGTAAAAAACTGGAAAAAAAAATTACGTTGAGTTATAACAATATTACACCAGAATAGTTTGATGGTATAATATGGTAAAAAAATATTAAGGAAAGTACATCGTTATTTTTTTGTCATTTTCTTATTCTCCACGTAACGCAAGGATGAAGGTTTGGCCTTTCCCTTCTACAAACAAAAATAAAGATCATTAAATGTTAAAAGAAGGAAAAATATTATTGCTACAAATGTAATTTATGGCCTAATCTTTTTAGTTCAACTAGTGTGTACCCCAATTTATCCCTTTTAACCCCATTTCTATTGTCAACCTAGTCACACATGAAAATTGGAATTCGTTTAAAATGATAATCTAGTACCCATATCTCTTGTAAAACACCATAGTAAGTGTTTTTGGCATATGTTACAACTTCTTTACTGATGTGTGTGTAAGTTGCAACGACACTAACCCCACTGTTTTGGTAAACTTTACATTCACGAGCTTTTGTACGAAAAGTATATCCATTGATAGCATATACATCATATTTAATAATGTTCTTATTGGGTCCATGTGAAATCCATCTCATTGTCTCTGTTATACTTTCTCTACAGCCCCCTAACTCTCTCTCTACCTGAATTGTAATTAGATAATGAATTTAAGATATAAAGAAATACATAACAAAAAACACAACATATATGAAATGAATATACCTCCTTTCGTAACCAATGACGAAATGTATTACTGTGCTCTTGTTGTAGCTGTGCCTTTCGTTTAGTAGGGTGTTGATGTTGCAAAAAATCCATGTGTCGTCTGTCAATACGTTAATGTTAATATTATAACAAAAAAAACATATATGTAAAAAAACTTACTTGATATACGGGAGTACTTCAGATGTATTTTGCAATACAAAGAAATGTGCTTTTCTGAATAGTTCTGCAGACACTTCTACCAATTTAGCAGCTGATAGAGGAGTACCGTCCGTAATAGAACTACTATCTACACCTATCTGAATTCCACATGTGTTATGATTTCCAGGGGGAATATCAACAGTATCCATCTTTTTGAGGAATTCACTAAAAAAACTCAATCGTCTCTTCTGCAACATTTTCTTCTGCAATGCATCCTTCTGGTCTATTTTTGTTTCGCACGTTCCCCTTAATAACCTTCATAAACCTTTCGAACGGGTACATCCATCTAAAGAATATTGGACCGCATAATTTTACTTCCCTAGTTAGATGAACGGTTAAATGAATCATCACATCAAAATTTGATGGTGGAAAGTGTTTCTCAAGAAGGCATAAGGTTACACATAATTCATCTTGCAACTTATCAAGCTCATCCAGTATGATATCTTTGCTACATATTGATTTGAAAAAGAAACAAAACCTTGTAATAGCAACTCTGGTGGATGGATGCATAATAGATCGAATTGCTATGGGCAAAAATTGTTGCATGAGCATGTGATAGTCATGTGATTTTAGTCCGATCAACTTCCTATCCTTCAGACTCACCAAACTAGAAAAATTAGAACAATACCCTTGAGGAACCCTTAAGTTGTATAAAGTCTCACAAAATTTGTCTTTTTCCTCTTTTGTCAATGTACAACCTGCTGCGGGAAGTGTTGTGTTGTTCCCTTCTATTTTAGGATGCAGCTCTGGTTTTAAACCATAATGAACCAAATCCAATCGAGCTTTATAACCATCTTTCGTCTTCCCGGGAACGTTCAACACAGTTCCGGTTAAACTCTCGCCCACGTTCTTTTCGACATGCATAAAATCTATACAATGTGGAATCAAATTGTCGCGCCAATACCTTAGCTGTCTATACCATATATTGAATTTCTTCCAGTATGTATTATTTTGTTGGCCCACATCTGAAGTACCCACTTTCAGTGATTTTCTCCTTTTTTTATTTATCTTCCCACCTCTTCCACTTGTAGATTGTTGGGTTTCTGCCTCCTTGCCCTTAGACACCTTTCCCCATTTATTAATTATAAATTTGACCCTGTTATATACTTCCTCCCTATTCATAGGTTCTGGAGAGGGTGAGAACTCTTGTTGTCCATTGAATGCCTTTTTTGTCTTCTGAACGGGTGATCCTACGGTAGAAATTGTCTATGACCGGCATAACTCTGCTTTTTCGATTCAGGGAGTCTAATGCAGTGTGTTTCTTCGCCACACACAACACAACCTTGAAATCCGTTGTATGGACAACCACTTAATGTACCTAGAGCAGGATAATCATTAATAGTCCATAACACTACTGCACGTAGTTTAAACTGCTCTTGTGCATATGCATCGTATGTTTCAACTCCAATATCAAATAATAATTGCAGATCATCAATAAAAGGTGCTAGGAACACATCAATATCGTTTCCTGGTGTTCCCGAAATCAATAACGAAAGCATGATGAACTTTCTCTTCATACACAACCATGGTGGAAGATTGTAAATGACAGTTAAAATAGGCCACACACTATGACTCCTATTTCCTCTATTCACATCGACCCCGTCAGCCGAAATGCCTAGCCGCAAATTTCTTGGCTCGCTAGCAAAGTCAGGATATTTGTCATCAATGGCAGCCCATGCTGGTGAATCAGTTGGGTGACTTAAAACACCAATATCCACCTTTCTGTCTGTTGCGTGCCATGTTAAATCTTTTGCAGTAGTCTTAGACTGAAAAAGTCGTTTCAAGCGCGGAATAATTGGAAAGTACCACAAAACTTTTGCAGGAATATTTTTGTAAATTTTATTTTTTTGTTCATCGACCTTCCATCTTGATTTACCACAAGTAGGACATGCTTCCATGTCTGTGTATTCGTTTCTGTAAAGTATACAGTTGTTGACACATGCATGTATCTTAGTATACCCTGAACCCATTGCCTTGAACGCTTTTTTGGCCTCGTATGTACTACTGTACATTTCGTTACCTTCTGGTAACATATTTTTGATCAAAACCAATAATTCTGTAAAGCACTTATCTGATACTCCATACTTACTCTTTAAGTTGAGTAGTTGTATGACTGCAAATAATTTTGCGAAATTAGGACACCCTTCATATAGGGGCTTCTCGGCATCTTCAATCAGTTCTCTAAACTTCTCAGGGTTCCCAATAAAATTTTCTTCTACAGCTTCCACCATCTCTACTGTTTCTGCAGCATCTGCTGGCATTTCTGTGTTCATGGTCGTCGAATCAACAACGTATGACGTGTCCATGTCAAAATTATGTTCATATATATAATTTATGGGTGGTTCCTCTTTTTCTCCATGCTTATTCCAATTCGTGTACTTTTGATCAATTCCATTCCTGAATAGGTGATCATCTACCACATCCACCGAATGAGATATGTGGTTTACACATTTGACACATGGACATGGAATTCTTATCTTTTTTTTGGGTATCTACAACATCCATATTTTTAGAAATCTTGTAATTATGTACTGCATATTTCAAAAATTCTGCAACACCCTTTACATACGTTTCTGATGTTCTGTATGCTCCCATCCAAGACTTATCCATATTCAGTTTATAACAACATCAACAATCAATATATGTTTCCTGTTCATTGAAGCATTTTAACAAACAGTTGGTGTGCATAAACGAAAAAGATCACATTACAATTAAATCCAATAACTGGAAACCAAATACTTGTTAATTGAAGAATATATAATGAAACATGACCAAACGAAATAGCAAAGATTAATATTCTGAAGGTAATTGTTTTTTATGTCCCTGTATAAATTAAGGTAGTATGTGTACCTGTATGAATTTCAAGATGTAGTATCAATTCGTGGTTGAAGTATAAATGTAGTTGCAATGCGTTTGTAGTAAGAAGAGAATGATTCGATGGGAATGCATATAGTCTCAAAATTCTTATCTACGCAATAGGTGTGGATGATCAATGATATATCGAGAAAAAACAAAAAAAATAGAAAAAAAATTGTTCCTAAGGGGGTTCGAACCCATGACATTCCAAAATATACCTTTAACTACATTTACACTTACCAACTGGGGTGTCTGACTGTTTGTAAGTTATTAGTTTACGAAAAACACATAACAATAAACTAAAAGAGGAACATTTGCCGAAAATACCCATGCTTCCTCTAGAACTGATCTACGATAACCACATTTACCATCAATCATACTTTCCTCATTTGAGACAATATACTTAATTGTGGTTGTACATTGTTTTTAATTACCATTCACAATTGGAAATAAAAACAAATGACAAAAATAACCCTGATTCTTCTCACACTCTTATTGTTTAATTGTAGTTATGCACATCATATATGTATCCAAGATAAACTTATTTTTTTTCTATCAATACTATGATGATGCATACCCTTAGATGATTTTCCCTTTTTTTTATTATTCATTATATAGACTTAATGACCATTATACCCTTATATCTCAAACACAGTTTCAATGGGAAATTAGAACATTTTCTTTGTTTTATGATAAAAACAATTAATTGACGGATATACCCCTGCTTTAGCATAATATCCATATGTTGATAACAAACATGGGACAAACTAAATAATCTATCCAATAACTTACATATAAAGTGGAAATAAGTTGAAAAGTACATTGCTTTGTTTACAAAACAATGCAGCAAAACAAGGACAATACTGACTCAGTTATAAGTATGAAACACAATATAAATAACAACATAAAATTATAATTATAATTACTTCCCATTTTACCCCTAAGACAGTTATATTCAAAACAACATCATATTGCTTACAAAAAAGAGTTTCATATGTACTCTGTAATTAACACAAAATGGAGTACAACATAGGTCCCCTACACTATATTTGTCCATGCTATCACATTCTCCTTCGCCATGTCCATTGCATCTTCCATTTTTTCTCTTGGAATGGTCATGTTTAGCATATGCCTGATGTATGCTATTCCATCATCAACTGTTTCCATTGGGTGTTCTGTTACAAACAGATGAATAAGCTTCTCAACCCTTTTGGATGGTGAGTTCATCAAAAAGTAGGGGAAATTGGTTGGAACAAATGCAGGCCTATGTTCAACATATAGATGTTCAATCTCTCGGAATTGGTGTGCCCTAACGATCATCTTGAAAGTTCCCAAACAAACATCATTCAGAATTAGAATCATTGTCAACCCACAGTTTTCTTGGGTTGGCATATGATACCAATTACCCATAGTTGTATACCCCAAGCTTTTCGAAAAACGACCAAGCATCTCCATGTTCAGCAAATCGATGTTGACATATGAAATAAAGTTAACTTTTGTCGTTTGATACGACTTACCTGGATAGTCTGTAAAAAACCCGGCATGTACAACTCTAATGGTGTGTTTGTCGGTGGTTCACTGCTTACACTCCAGAGTTGGAACCTCAGATTTTCCCATGGATCAACATTCATCTTTGTTTCCATTGATCGTCAGAGTTGTTTTCACAGAGCAGGAGCAAATAATAGAAGCTATCGTATGTTGGTAATGAAGATGTAAGAATGACGATTTTGATATAAGGGGAGGCTTTAAATGGATCGTCATTTGGAGCTGAAGGGACATCGACGCAGGCCATCACTTCCGATTAATAGCAGGCTACAGGGGAGGTGCAATTTGAACGACGACTGTGATAATGATTATCGATATTGTGTTATACATTAATATATTATTTACATTAATATATATAGTATTAAATAAGTGTAACATCCATACTTTCTATGTTTTTATTATTACCATACAAAATATAAATTTAAATATAAATTAATTATAAATATATAAAATCATTTTTTAAATTAATATCGGTATGGTTTCCAGATGTTGGTAATGGTTTGGGACCAAATTGGGTTTCTAATACGGGTATGGGTTGAAGGTGGTCGGGTGTTGGTAATGGTTGACCATCATTAGGTCATGTAGGGGTGTTGGTAATGGTTTGGGGCCAAATTGGGTTTCTAATACGGGTATGGGTTGAAGGTGGTCGGGTGTTGGTACGGTTGACCATCATTAGGTCATGTAGGGGTGTTGGTAATGGTTTGGGACCAAATTGGGTTTCTAATACGGGTATGGGTTGAAGGTGGTCGGGTGTTGGTACGGGTTGACCATCATTAGGTCATGTAGGTGTGTTGGTAATGGTTTGGGACAAAATTGGGTTTCTAATACGGGTATGGGTTGAAGGTGGTCGGGTGTTGGTTATGGTTGACCATCATTAGGTCATGTAGGGGTGTTGGTAATGGTTTGGGACCAAATTGGGTTTCTAATACGGGTATGGGTTGAAGGTGGTCGGGTGTTGGTAATGGTTGACAATCATTAGGTCATGTAGGGGTGTTGGTAATGGTTTGGGACCAAATTGGGTTTCTAATACGGGTATGGGTTGAAGGTGGTCGGGTGTTGGTACGGGTTGACCATCATTAGGTCATGTAGGGTGTTGGTAATGGTTTGGGACCAAATTGGGTTTCTAATACGGGTATGGGTTTAAGGTGGTCAGGGTGTTGGTATGGTTGACCATCATTAGGTCATGTAGGGGTGTTGGTAATGGTTTGGGACCAAATTGGGTTTCTAATACGGGTATGGGTTGAGGTGGTCGGGTGTTGGTACGGGTTGACCATCATTAGGTCATGTAGGGGTGTTGGTAATGGTTTGGGACCAATTGGGTTTCTAATACGGGTATGGGTTGAAGGTGGTCGGGTGTTGGTACGGGTTGACCATCATTAGGTCATGTAGGGGTGTTGGTAATGGTTTGGGACCAAATTGGGTTTCTAATATGGGTATGGGTTGAAGGTGGTCGGGTGTTGGTTATGGTTGACCATCATAGGTCATGTAGGGGTGTTGGTATGGTTTGGGACCAAATTGGGTTTCTAATACGGGTATGGGTTGAAGGTGGTGGGTGTTGGTACGGGTTGACCATCATTAGGTCATGTAGGGGTGTTGGTAATGGTTTGGGACCAAATTGGGTTTCTAATATGGGTACGGGTTTAGGACCGAAATGGGTTTATAGTAGGTGTATGGATTTTTTTTTTCTAACTTAATATAAAATAAAATAAAAAATCTTAACAAAGTGTTCACACGGAAAAATTAGTAAGCTAACTAGACCTTTATCTTATTTTCGTTTTATTATACTATTATCCCATTGCATATACATAATTAAATGTTAAATATTTTTTATTTCCAATAGTGATATAGTTGTATCCTAACGTAAAATTGTTAATTTACAAGGACCAAAGTTGTAACATTTCTATTTATATCTAATAACTCGTAATAATATTTCAAAAGCCAGAACATGTTTCCAAACCACGATTTATGCTTCTCATCGTGTGAGTTCACTATCAGATCAAAATTTGGAAAAAATTTGAATTCATTAATCAAAATTAAGCAAATATAATGGGAGGCAAAAATTTTTTCCATTTTGTTTTGGGCTCCAAATCAACGCGGGAAGTATTCATCTATCTCACCGCCAAAACTATGAAGATCAATCCATCAGATGAAGGAAAATCCGGTAAATTTGGTAACCACCCTCAAATTAGGGTGTACTAACAATGTATTATTTAAAAGACTTTGATTTTTTCAACCATTGTGTGGTTTTTCTCTAGGTTATATCGATCCCAGTTGGATTATATTTCAGTTCATCATTCGACAACATTCATCACGCATTTCTACTGTAAGTATATTCTCTGTATATTGTGTCAATGTTATTGATTGTATTGATTAGGGGATTATACATAAAACATAAATTTTTTGATTCTTCATATTACTGTGCTTGTTGCACACCAATGTTCGATGAAATGTGTATGTGAAATTTTGTATGTAATATAAGTTAGTCATACTTTTTATTAAACATACAAATAATCAAACTTAATTCATATGTTTCATGTCAACAGAAGAATCATGGAGGTGAACAAGGAACAACATGAGGATATGCCTGACTATGATATGGAATTTGAGCAAGATGATGGAACACAATTTTATGAATCGGACACAGAAGATGGTGAAAATAATGACATTGAATACAATAGCCATTCAGATTCGGAAGAAGAAATGCAAAGCAAAGTTCCTACAGGGTCACCTAGGAAGAGGGGACTGACTCGATTGCCAAAGCTGAAGACTGAGTATGTCAATTCTGGTGGTAGAAAAAAACGTGTGAAGTTTGATGAATTCGTTTACAGGGAAGAATAATGCAGTGTTTGTTAGTTATTTAGGAGATCTTGTCCGCAAGAAGGTGGGATTAAGGGCTCTTTGCTAGAAGAAAGTAAAACCGGAAGTGAAGGACAAACTTTGGGAAGAGATTATAGTAAATATTTTTTTCACTTTTTTTAACTGCATCTCATATTTTATTTACAAATCATGTATTAAATACTAACAAATTCATTATTGTTTCATTTTAGCGCTATTTTAAATTTGATGAAACTAGAAAAAGATTTGTGATGAATAGGCTTGGTATCCTTCTACGAAACCTCATAAGGAAATTGTATGCAGCTTACACCAAGCCACATCTAGGGAATTCCAAAAAGCTTGGAGAAATCCCTGTTCGATATCGGGCAATAATTACTGAAAAAGATGATTGGAACAAATTTGTGACATATACACAATCTGAGGAGTTTAATGTTACAACTTTTTCCCAAAACTTCTTCATTCATTTATCATAAAATTACCAAAAAGTGCTTGACAAATCTTTTTTTTTAGACAGGTTGTGTCACAAAAGACAGTCAAAGCGCGCAAGATGTCAAAGTACGCTCATCGGATGGGACGAGGGGGGTATACTACTCTTAGGCGGAAGTTGGTAAGCTTTGTTTTTAGCTATATGATCCTTTATATTACATTCATAGTATGCTACTTAACATAATTTTATTTTATATTGTTTACAATTTAATTTTTTTTATCAAGATTGAAGAGAAAGTGATTTCAAAGGAAGAAATGCCCCCAAGGTCAATTATGTGGTGTAAAGGACATGAAAGTAAAGGAGTATTTAAGGATGAAGATGTTAAACTCATGGCGGATAAACTAGTAACTTCAATAAACTTTTTTATTACTATTACTATAAAGATTTTAATCAGTTTTATTAGGACAATAATTATTAATATTTTGTGTGCTAGATGGAACAAGAAAAGCAGATAAAAGAAGGACAAGTTAATGTTGAACCAGGAACATATGCCATGACCTTAGTTTTTGGCAAGGAAAAGGGAGGATTTTTAAAGGGTGTCGGCACAGGAGTCACTTACAACATATATTTCAATGTTCCTCGCAGCAAAGGATCATCTAAGGAAGAAATTAAAGATCTTAAAGTTGCATTGCATAATGGAAAACTTGAGCTTGAGAAAAAAGATGTTGAACTCAAGGCTTTGTCTACAAAGGTTAATGAACAAGATCAAACACTAAAGCTAGTTTTGGCTCATCTTAATGCAAAAGGAGCTGACTTTCAAAATCTGTCTCATACTGTTGTAAGTAATCTTATTAACAACATGTATTTTCAATGTTACATGTAAATTGCATTTGTTTTAGAAATTTTCCATGTTTCTTTATATTTGCTAGGGTATTTCAAGTGACAAGATTGTTGAAAGTAGTGAAACAACTCATGTTTATCTCAAAACCAAGCAACCATCAGAACCTGTAACACAAGTATGTTATAATTTTATAAGATAATCATTGATATACTTTTTTTGATACTAATTTCTATTTTTTCACTTGGGACTTTAATTTATTTAGGTTATTGCAAAACCCACCAAGAAACAAGTTCAAACCAACTCTACAACTGCAACTCCCGATACACAATTGATTTCCATGAAATCTGCAACAGTAGTTTATACTTACTTTACAGTTTTCAACACTTTTAATTTATCTTTTATATTAAAATATAATTTTACATATATGTCTTAAACCTTTATATTAGGCAAATACAAAACCCACCAGAAAAGCTGTTGACTCTAAGACTGCCACTATCAATCCTGACATACCAACAGTTTCACCAAATAAACCCCTTCACCAGGTAAGTGTTTTTTAAATGTTGAATATACATTTCTGTCTTTTTTTCTGATTCTAATATTACTTATCATTGTAGCCAATCAAGTGTACACTATCACATCCGTATAAAAGGAACATCGTTGCTCGTGGTACAATTCACTTATCATAAGAAAGACAATTCATTCATGGAGTTCCTCTACAAGATGATTGCTATAAAGTTTCCATTGATGAAGTGGTAATAAAACAAGCATTTCTACCCCATAAAACTGGAGAATTCACATTAGTTGAGG